TTGGTGTAAACGAGGGGTTAAGTGAGCGCGCCGGGTTTGATATCTTAATCATCTCTAGAGGATCTTTCACGTAACTATTAGTTTATTACTATTTTTCAAAATATTGCATACAACGTATTAATTTACATTGAATTTAATTAGTTACATGGTAAACCCCCTTAAGACATCTATCTATACCCGCACGAGTAAAAAAACCTTGTATACCATACCTTTATAAGTGAAGCTGGTTTTAATAATTACGTTCTTTCTGATTATTTCAAATCCAAAATACTGAATATGTTCGTCGCCTATGAGTATATTGAGTAACGTTGAAAAAGTCACTTTTTGACAAAACATATTAGTAAATAATGGTCGTAAGGATTTTGTTCTGAGGTTTATTTTTCAAATGGTTACTGAGAACTTTACATAAATCTTGACACTTAATTTTTTCGAGGAGATCGATGGCGCAGTGTTTAGCGCTTTCTGTCTGCGATCGTGGAAGTTAAGCATCTTTCGCGATGGCCTATCATGAGATGAGTTGCCCAAAATTTATTATCTGGAGCTCCTGCGTGCTTCGGAAGGTACCCACGTCAATACATTAATGCCAGACAGTAGCCGCGTGGTGGGTCATGGACCAATATCCTTATCGCAAGCCTGTTTCCCAGCAGTGGGGACATCAACAGGCTGATAAAGATGACGTCCTTTTCAAACTCCGCCACCATAAGAGAACAACCATATTGGTTGTCAGAAACTTCAAAAATTATGTAAAATTCTAAAAACCTCCTAAAGTAACCCAAAATGTTTTATAAAATAGATTCGTAAAGTAAAAAATAATTATTAACATACTTTTACCTTGTTTCAAGCAGTGCTTTGGACGATTACGAGTTGAACGGCACAACAATAAAGACACCAATAAAACCAGCAACCAACATAAAGTAACACCACAACGCTTTAAATTTACTAATAGTTATCCTATTAAATCTATGTTATAATTATTATACATTTATGTTATCATTAATTCGATTGTCTGCTTTCTCTAAAAAAGTATCACACTTGTTGGAGTACCTATTTCAAAACAGCACTTTATCACTTTAATTGGAAAAGCATAATGTTATGGATGTGCACGGATGCGATAAATCAAACACAAATAAACGTCAAAAACAAATAATTATTAATTCAATATTTACATAATATTTGCATCAATCTCTTTACCTTGTGACACCTATTACAACATTTGATACACTATTCCTTCAAATAACTTAAGCACTATAATTTAATACTTTTTTCTCGTGTTATTTTCGAATTATTCGATGAAACTTTAAAATATTAATTAGACTAATATAACAATGAATTTGTTAAATAACTTTGCACAACCTTTTAAATAATAATATTGAGATTCGTTTTTGTTCTCACGTTTTCATAAAATAGTAATTCTATATCCATTTCTTAATCTCTTATCAAATATGGAATGTTAAATGGTAAAATAATGAGATAAATTTTACTTAGTTTTCTATTTAAACTGACTAGTATGGAATAAACTGGTACAATAATATGAAATTGCACTGAAAGAATATTATGTGCTAAATCAGATATTATCAAAATCTTACAAGAGAATAATCATAAGATCTGAAAAATGCTTGTTCCTACTGTCTCTTCAATTACAGTTTCAATAAATCGAACATAGTAATTGTTTAAAACAAATCTTTGTAAAATATAAACTGGTACATTTAAGATCTAAGTATTAGGCGAAATGTACCCTCACCAGCAACAAACGATAAAGCATGAGTACATTGTGGGTACATTTATGTACCTAAAGATTTTCTGTACTATCAATTAGACAATTAAGTCAGACATATTTAATTTTAATAGTTTTTAAAATTACTTTTGGCAATTCTTACATTTCTATAGAATAATGAATTTTACATAAACATTTCATTAGTTTTTCACAAGTCAATGATGTTTACGTGTGTCGAACAAAAGGCTGTCGTATCCATAATCTTTTGTTTATTGAACAATATTTTGTATTATTTATTTTACGTAATGATTTAATTTATTAATATTATATTTTATTATTATTATATTATGAGACACAACACGGTACGAGACGAAATAAAATATTTTCATTCAGACGCAGATTCAGAAAAATTAGTTACAAAATTTCTAAATCGACTGCTTATTTCTTTTTATAATTCCTAATTAATTTACGATGCGTCGTATATGGTATCATATGAACTAGCTGCATTTCTACAGCGTCACAGTAAAATCTCCATCTTTCTGCTCAGCTTTTGGATCCGTGGATGTTCGTTCCGGCATCTTTAACACCAGAGGCTGCTGTTCCGTAGTACTCTCTGTGACACATCACAAACACAGAAAACAATTACAACACAGTTTATTTTTTGATCTATGCTTGATATGATGATAGTGTGAGATGCCCTTCAGTACTTAGATGGAAATCTCAATATTAGTCATACGCAATATCATTTTTAAATACTTAGATTTTCCTTGTTATTTGAATGTTATTTTGTATAGAATGGCAGTTCACACGATCTTTAATCTAAACACTATCTAATCGGATATCTTTAAGAACAAATCTGTCGCTATGAGAATATCTGGTATTATCTGGCGACGGTTTCGGAAGAAAAGTAATACATATGCGCATTCGCAGACGGTGAATAAAAATTTTTTGTGTCTTCCTTTAGTTGGTGTATGATTTTTTTAATTTAAATTAAACCAGTTTTTTCCTCGTCCATAAGAGAACTTAGATGAATACCTCAGTGATTTTAAATATTATAGAGCTCATATAGCCGGAAGCGTCAGAAGCAACATTATAAGTAGGTACTAATACATAATAACATCAATTAATTGAAAACCAGTAAGTAGTGGAATAATACAAAATTTCACGTCATTTTTTTTTCATTTTCACAAATTTTCTGTACAAATAATTATATGGAAAATTGTATTCCTTATTCTGTGTCTTTCTACTACAGTTAGTTACCAATTACTTACAATATTAACGGTATTATCAAAGCATTAATTATTATGTATTTATTTTCATGTAACAACATTTTAACCGAATCGCTATCAATCTAGGGTGACATACAATTAGTTATTTACAAATTGGTGTTTAAATGTAAATGCTATTCGAAAACTAGTAAAACGTTCAACTATTAAAAATTATGTCAAAATAACATTAAATCATTTTAACTTTTTTTAGCACTTTGAAGTGGTGGAATTAAGCATGTAAGTATAATAATAATATATTCGTCAATTATAATCGTAAAAGTGGTATAAAAAATCATGTATACTTAATTTGACACTGTCCTCTATCGTTTTACTTATTTCCGAGTTCAAAACATGCAATTTCTTAAACTTATTTATTTTTTACAACCTTACAGAAGAAGAACATAAAAAATATAATTTTCATACTGGTCTGCCATTTATTATATTTCTACAAAAACAAGAACGAAAACTAAATAAAAAAAAGCATGCAGTAGCTGCATGTAACGAAACAAAAGACTACATTTTGTCTGTCGGAAAAATATAATGATTTCAGTGCTGTGATTTAGCTTATAGTCATAACGACGCTTCGTTAAGTAAATGTACTGACATTACAGAACTGCGATACAAATACGAGTATGAACGAGTAATGCTAACATCAATTGGTCAGTAAAACGACGACATCATTCTTAAGATGGTGACACAAATGTATCCTGTGTTAAAAAGGGGTTTCTGCTCTGGGAGGCAATTTGGCAAAATTGTACATCCTGCAGAGATTCAACTACTTACTTATGCCAATCAAAGATGTTACTAGGGAAACTTAAAGCGATGCAATCAATCGCTCGTAAATGTTACATGAGAATATTTTGTAATAATTTATTCATATTTAAATTAGTCGATGTAGTTGAGTACGTCTAACGTTAATATCACAGCCATAATATAAAAAAACTCATAAACTCAGGTCCTAAACTCAAAAATTACAATCACAAATTGTTTAATTGCATACATAAAGTTAAACTAATTATGATAAATTTCATTAGGATCTACCTACTTCGAGGCCTATCTAGGTCTTTAAGGATACTGCGTTAAGCATATTTTATTCAAATAAATAATTTGCCTAATATAGGAAATTTTACAAGAAATATTATTATTCTTAATACAAATCATACGTATTGTCTCTTGTTTAAAAAATCACATTCATTTTTAGAACTCGAGCATAAGAAAGTGTAATTCGGGTGTATTTTTCTCAAGATTAAATGCCTGTTAACAACTATAGTATTAAAACAAAAATGATGGTTATGTTAGTTACAAACATATAAATGCCGATGCATATTTAATTTTAATCAATTCGGTTTAACAATGTAACGATTTATATAATTCATGATTAATAAATTATTTATTACAAACTTTTTGGCATGATATCTTTAGTAAAATTTATAGTAATAATAAATCAAACTTCTATATTAAACTATACATTCTAATGTCAATGTAAAGACAAAGAGATAAGTAGGTACGTACTTTGTAAATCTCTGTGTGTGACACGCTTCATAAAACATCACGTGAATATTCTAACCAGATACAAACAACTTCTATCGACATATTATTATTTTTTATTTATGACACTACTTGGCAAGCTTGATGCGTAAACAATACACCTTATCGGTGAGCAATGCAATTGCAAATCTCTTTTGTTATGTAAAAGGTTAGAAAGCCAATGCATGTAATGATAAATTAACTAGTATCACTAAGTAAACAAGACATCTGGTTTGTTGACCCTAGATATATTAAAATCTGGTAAATAGATCGAATACCTTATGACGGAAATATCAACACATTTCTACATAAACTAGTATGACACTAAACTCAAGTAGGTCTCGGTTAACAGTGACCAAGATTTTTCATTATCTTGATAGAGAGCTCTTCTCATGTAGGTGATAACAGATACAAGCACATTTAACACACTTAATTAGCCTTACGCACAAATAACCACCCACCACCGGACCGGACTTTAAAAAGGAACTCACCGATAGATCTGCGGTCACCCTGGCTTCCGTAAAACTCATCCAGCTCCTTAGCGGAACAGAGCGGCGTGTCCACTTGTGTCGTTTCATCGAATTTGGAGTAATCTACCTCGTACCCTTGACGTTCACGGTTATATGACACTAGCGGCACAAATCTATGTCCCCACATTAATTCACTGGTTGTGTAACTGGAGCGCGCTTGTGTCGTCTGCCCAGTCGACTCTATAGTACCTTCTAATATTACTACTATTTCGAACCTCTCTTGCAGAATGTCCGCCGCAGATACCCCGTAGAAAGGACTGTCAGCATTTATTTTGTGCACCATTGTAATGGGCCAAATGAAGAACAGGTTGCTGTCACATCCGTCAGCGTTCAATTCTAATTCAGTCTGGTAGTGGGACAGCACCTCTCCCTCCTTCGTTGTTCGAGATCGGATTAGCTGTGCCCTTACACTGGCTCCTATGATATGTGACTTTCTCAAATCACCCACTCTGAACATTAAGCTCAATTCCCCGTCTCTCTGACATATAACGGCATATCTCGAGAATAAAAGTGTTTGTGTTCTATGTTTTGGCCTCGTCATCTTAGCAAACACTATACCGACCATAAAGGCTTGAATCATAACACCGACGATACTCTGGAGACACATTATGAAAATCGCTTCTGGACATTCCTCAGTGGTCGTGCGAGAACCATATCCAATAGTATGTTGTGTTTCAATACTGAACAAGAAACAGGAAGTAAAATCAAATATGTTAAATACGCAGGGCTTCCAATTAGTCGTTTCTTGCATCGGTGGTAAATGATCGAGTTCCAAATCTCCATGTGTGAATGCTATCAGCCACCAAATTAAAGCGAATCCTAGCCACGATAAGATAAAGGATAATGTGAACACGAGTAGGGTCCATCGCCACTGCGCATCGACGAGAGTCGTGAACATGTCCTGTAGGAACCTCAGCCGCCTTTGGGAGATTCTCGACTTGAGTATATTGCACTCTCCGTTTTTGAGAATAGCTCTCCTTCTCGATCTGCGCGGTACGCCATATCTGTGCGTTCGGCTCCTGTAAATAAGACATATCAATTAACGTTTCGCCTCACCGCTCCCACTTATCTAACACGTATCCTATAACGTATGAACGTTTATTTCACGCTTCTACAGCGAGCTGGCCTTCGTCAATGTTAATGTCGCTAATGTTTACACACTAAGAAAATGGCTTTCTAATGTAAATGATGAACACTTAACAAGAATGCGAGAACGGACAAAAGCGAGACAGTACGGTTGGGAGTCGGTCGGAGACGGCACGGGGTGGCGGGCGTCGACGAACCTCTTGCTGCCTGTGGGGTAGTAGATGCCCGGGGAGAGGTTGCCATTGACGGCGACGGGCTTGACTTTGAGCCACTCCTCAGGGAGGAGCTGGGCCTCCTCCCGGCAGGCGGGCGACTCGGGGTCGGCGTGCATGGCTCGTGCGCGCGGCTCACACGCGGCGGACCGTCTGCGGCTTCATTCCGCGACACTCCTGAAGCACCACTCGAGATAATGACCAGATCACGACTGACGTTGCGCCCGCACAACGAAGCGCTAAACGTTGTATAATTGTATCGCGGAATTCTATTAAGAAAAATTATCAGCTCCTACGGAAAATAAATTTTATTTAGTGTGTACTTGACGTTATCTGATATACAGGCTGAGTCTATGACTGAGAGCGATCGTAGCAATCTCAGCGACTCGTAGCAAACTTACAGTTTCCATTGAAAACTAAGAAACATTAATGCGTATTTGCTGGATAGGATACAAAACACATAATAGTTTTGTATTCCCTGACCTTATACCAAATATCAATATTATCTAAGATGTCAAGACATGTATTATTATTTACAAATTAAAAGGTAAAAATATAATAAAACTATGTCTTTTACCTTTTTACATTCATGATATTTAATATACTTTTTATATTTTTTATTTATTTAAAGCTGAAGACTGTTTGTTTGTTTGAACGCGCTAATCTCAAAAACTACTAGTTCTGATTGAAAAAATCAAATTATTTTTGTGTTGGTTGGCCAATTTATCGGGGAAGGCTATAAAAGGCTATATTACATCACTCTACGACTAATAGGAGCGGTACCTCAATGAAAAATTTTGCGAAAACGGGATATATATTATTTTTGAGAACCGTTGCGTGCGCTTCATAAACGGTAAAAGCTACGCAAAAAACGAAATTGAACCTCTTAAAAAAATAAAAAAAATATGCAGATAATCACAATTTCCCACTATACGCGTTAGTCAGGTAACAAAGTTCGGAACAGAATATTAAAGTATATTTTACGGTTGCCTCTTTATGAACTTTTTATAAAGAGGCAACCTATGCATAATGCATTTTTGAGAAGGTATAGAAAGTATTTTATTAAGTATTTCCTTAAAATAACGTGGGTAAAACCGCGCGGCACAACATATATTGCAATTCGGTAAATACTTTGTCTGTAACAGATTCTAAGAATTATTACCAGACTTGAAACAGACATTTTGATATGCCTTAGACAATGAGTGGTTTATGATTAGATATTGCATTTTGATTCAACATGCCCGCCGCCGTATCTATTTAAATGTTTTCGCATAAAGTAAGATGAGTTTTCTTTACTTTAACTTGAGCATGGTAGATTTTCCACTCCAATTGAAGCTCCCTACTAATATGGAAATAACCGACACCTTACTTGCTATGTTTCTGTTGGTGGTCCGGTCCGCGTAGCATGAGCACCACAATTTACGTTATATCACGTAGTTTATCGCGTCTTACTGTCAAACTCCATAGTAATTTGACATTGAGCGTGATAAAAACGCGTCATATATCATATCGCGGTGCCCATGCTAGAGGGGCAAGGCTCCACAAATACCCATGACTTAGGTGAGTAGGTACAAATGCTCGTATTTACCATATAAGCATTTGCTCTACCATGATTTAAACCCAGGACCTCTAAGTAAGCGAAACCTTGAAATCCGGTGTAAATATCGCCCCACCACGTAGTTCGTTGATTACCCTTTGTATATTTATTTATAAACAAAGATTGATAACTACATTATTTCTTTTTAATTGTTTACAGTATTATTTACGACTGCTTATTCTACAAACGTCAGTTTTCTTCATTAACGTTAAGTTTTATCACAATGAATTATTATAATTACACACTTTACTGATCACATTTATTCAAACAATGGAATACACTGCACATAACAAACTTTATAATCATATTTATTTTTACACAAAGTAAAAAAAAACACAATAACTTTTCCTTTCCCTTTAACGGGGAAAAATGTTAAAGAAAATAATCCAAGTTCAAATCATCCTGTCATTGGTTTTTTGAGAAAATATAGGAACCTATAATTTATTTGCTATATAAAATATCAATTCTTTGTCTACACAGGTAATACAATTTCTTGTGTGGCAAATTTCTTTAAAAGCCATTCACCTTTGTTTGCTTTATGAATATAACCTTTTAAATTACTTAGAGTAAAAAACATACACACTTTCAAATTAAGATCGATTATTTAAAAAAAATATGCAATCCTTTTTCTATATTTAAACAAGTAATAGTAGATTATGCTACTGTCACCGGGGGTTGAGTAAATTCCAGTATAAGAGCCCCCCGCCCCACCCCGACGTATCATTAGTTAAAAGTAAGAAAATGGCAAAGGAAGAGTTGCATTGGACTAACTTTCGGATTTACTTTGCACCTGGTAACGAATTATTTTTATTGGTGTAATTATAATGTCTCAAACGTCTAAAAATCGTTGACAATGACATAACATCCTAGTTGATTGCTATACTTTTTTGCTAACTAAAAACCTTTTGTAAATATTCCTTAAGTGGAATAGGTGAAATGACAATGGCAAGGACATAGCAAATAGAAGGGAGGGTTACCTATTATTCGGTCCTTGCTTCTACGCGTACTTAAAAAAGTTCTGCCCTTATTACGGTTTATATGATAAAACCCGTTGACTAATGTGGAATGGAATGACGAGCAGACGCACAAGGAAGGCTTAGTAAATCTTTCTGTGTTAACTTTTGAGTACAGCCCCTCTAACATGGGCACCACGATATGATGAAAATCTCGTTTTTATCACGCTCAATTGTCAAATTACTATGGAGTTTGTCAATTACATGCGATAAAAAACGTGATATATTGCAAATTGTGGAACAGAGCTCTAAAAAGCTTGGCAAAAAAAACATTAATTGGTATTTAGTGCCCTGTCCCTGTAGGATGAGAACCACTATTTACATTATATCATGTTTTTTATCGCGTCTAACTGTCAAACTCCATAGTATTTTGACAATAGAGCGTGATAAAAACGAGTTACTACAAGGGGGCTGGAACGCCATATAATCGTGGCTACGCGTACCTCTACGATTAGCTTTCACGTAGTTCGCAGTTGTAGACTGCCATCGGTGTGTCAAATAATTATTTATTTAAACTTAATTGACCTTACATTAGTATTAAAATTTAAACTGTCTGTTACTAACCTACTATGGAACCATTGTTATCCGAAATAAAAAAATATTAAAAATTAGCACATGTATTCTTGTCATCTAAAGAAAGATTTCGTTTCTATTTTTTTAAACACACTATACCTAAGTTGGTAAGATGATGGCTCATGGCAGCCATTTCATTAAAATGGCTAATTTGACAGTGCGAATTGGACTGCTAACACGTATCATTTTCTCGTACTAATTTAACAATCCCGACCATTTTCCGGACGAAGGCCAGAGAGGTGTGTATTGCCATTCTGTGAGGGGCATTGTGACGAAAATCTTCTAAGTGGACCGATGAGTCTTCGTATATATTTATCTAATGTTTTCATTATACAATGGGTATTTCACCTGACTTAGGTATATATTAAAGGTAAAATGTCTTGGTGTCCAGAATTTTAAACCTTTAATAGTTATTTATGCAACTGTTGTATAATGAGGGGTATTAGAAACACGAATTTGGGTTAATAGTATCACATGAATGTTTTAATACCTAAAAAAATAATTGCATACAATACTTTATCTACATTCATAATATGTATAGTATATATTTGATATTTTCCAATTCATCAAATTTCGGTACGCCTATTCATATTGTTATCTTGAATTTTCCGGTAGCAATTAGTTGGAAATATTCTTTGCTGCATTTGAAATATCTGGTTGTGTAACGTCTTATCAAAACTTGAATCGCTCATTTTATTAACAAAACAAAGTAATATTTTTTTGTATAACTAATATCGAAAGAAAATGTAGGGAATTCGAATAACCTATAAGATTTTTTTAACGCGTTGTGATAATGAAACGCGTGTAAAAATAATAACATTGGTATTATTTTTTAAATTCATACAAATACAATGCATCGAACTGTGAGAATGTGGCTGTCTGATTAGTAAACCCTTTGCATGGAAGGGATCAAAAAAGCGAAGGAGTGTTATTATGAAATTTATTAATTGTACGACATTATAACATATGTTTGTATGATAATATGTTTTTTTATATTTTTTATATGGACATTGGTTGTTTCAATGTTGGCAATATCAGAATCTTAACCACTCATACTGGGTTTAGATAAAAATTACAAAAAAAACGTGTTTAAATTAGTTCAAATGTTCTCTAATCTATACTAATACATATTATAAAGAGGTAAAGTTTGTAAGTTTGTGATGTTTTAGGGCGCTCTTGATCCACTGCACCGATTTTTAAAATTATTTTACCAATAGCAATCCACGTTATTTGTGAGTATTAAACTAGGCTTTATATTAACCTGAAAAATGAAAAAATTTTTGGTGGTAGTCGGATTTGAAAAGTAAGTCGGAGAAAAAACGGTCGGTCGAAAACGTTTCGTACGAATTGTTAAAGGAGCAACAATCAGAGATATACGATTGAGTTTAAGAGAAAAGCAAGACGAGATAAAGAGCTTGCTAATTCCTACAAAAAAGTCAGCTACAGTATATTTCTAACTTTCATATTTAAGACAGAAAAATCAGTATTTCATACTAAAAAAATATTAAAATCGTAAGGTTTTTTTTTATACAAGGCGC